AAACCGTCTCAGTAGTGTTTCGCAATTAAAAATCGGTTTTCGGAATATATACGAGAATTTTTGAATTTTAGTAAATACTAGAGTCGTTCAATTGAGTATTATAATAGCTTTATCCCTAGTTCGCTTTATATTGAATATTTTTACGCGTTTAATCGATACCCTCCTTCAAATTTACTTGCGTTAGAGATTCGGGAAAGATATCAATTCGCGGTTTATTCTTTTGCTTTATATACATCGCGTTTATTTCATATCTCTTTTCTTTTTTTTACGTTTATTCTATTTAAAGTTAACTTGATTCTAAAAATCGAGAATAATATAATATCGCGGTTTCCCCTCTTAAATAAATCGCGTTTCGAAATACTTTTCGCGTCGTCCATTCCACAGTGACTCACATTTTCTGAGTCTGAGTCTTGGGGAATCAACGACGAGGAACTGGAATGATTTGCGGAAGGATGACGATCTGAGAGGATGGAAGGAAGGAAGGAAGGAAGGAGGCAATGCAGCCAGGCAGCCAAATCTACGTTGCAGAGCCCAGCTGCTTAATCTGCGAATTGTGAGTGAATTTTTTGAGGGTTTGGTGGTTGGTTATATATGTGTGTGCATGTGCATGTCGAAGCTGAACTACCAAGAGGTCAAAGAAGAACTGGATGGACTCTACTGCACTAATGGTGCAAACGCCCTCCCATTATTAGAGTATCAAAGTAGTATACCGCGTTAATTCAATTTAGAGTCAATTTTCCCATTTACTTTCGATCGATACGAGAATTTATCACGTCGCGTCGCGTTTGATAAATAGCTTCGTCCCTTTTTCCATTTTTGCGTTTCTTTTCTCTTTTCTTTTTTGAATTTTTGGTAAATGTCCCAACTAAAATCAACTACACGAAGATATGGAGAATGATAAAAATTCGCGGTTTCGGGTACTAAATAAAATCCCTGAAAATGAAAATAAATCGCGATTCGTACTCCACTTTTCGTGCGTCACCCTTTTACAGCTTTCCAAATCTGGTGGATCTTGGTCACTGGCTTTGGGTCTCTCAATCTATCATTGTGGGTCTCTGGTGGGATGAAAATTCAAGGATGAGGGAAATTCAATGGTCCACTGAGGGAATTGCAAAAGTTTCAAGGGTCTGAGAGAAGCTTCCAAGTGAATTGTGGGTCAAAATCGAAGGCTGGGAGGACTGAAATGGGTCACTAAAGGTATCTCGAAGGTTACGAATTATTTATCTTGTCAATCTAATTTACATTCTGTTTCCGTGTTCCAGCTAAGTTTTGTTAAATTGTAATAAATTCGCGGTTTTCCTTACTAAATAAAATGAAAATAAATTGCCTGGGCTAGTTCTCAAAGCCTACTGTTGCCAATTCTGACGAGATAAAAAGTACCGAGAGTACTGATAAGGTTCAGGGTAGGAATAAAATCTATTTAACAATGTCCACCTGTGTGGTCTGCGTTTAGGGAGTTGTACGTTTTTTCGATGATCGATTTAGGTAAATATTTCGAGCTCACATAAGAGTTCAATTTTCTCCTGTTCGAAAAAGAATTTTGCCTTGAGTTGAGGTATGAGTTTCATTATCAGAGGTTTAATTAGGTATTCCATTGCTACGATTTCATATAAGAAAGATATCCTAACAATTTATCCTCCTATTGCAA